ATTTAACGTCCTGCAGCCAGCTGAAAATGAGTGAATTCTAAGGCATAGAGTACTGTAGAAGACCAAGTTCATGACATACCAGTACTGTATATATGTTATATCTACTGTACTGTGCAACTGTTTAAACACACTAATATATGGTCTTAGTTTCACCAGTACGCACCTCATGGCCACTATATCTAGTGACCTTGTTTTGGGAGGAAATCACTGGCAGTAAATGGCATATTCTTACCTGTTTGTTGGGCCTGGGCTCTAGCTCCTGGGTCCCACACATTTTGCTGCCGGGTGCCCATTTAAATGTTTTTATGTTTTTTAAACAACATCCACTTCTCCCCATTGAATAATTTACATACTGCCCACATGCCAAAGGTATTCTTCCATATACCGTATTATCCTGTCATGTCTTGTAATCATATATTTATTAAACATAGGAGCGGAACAGCAAATATTTAAATGTAAATGAAGCAAAAATAACAATTAGCCGTGCTACCTGCTAAATTGTTTTTCAGCACACATCTGCATGAAGCTGGTGAAACATGTTAGGCACTGGAATATGAATAATATCAATTGCCAAAACGTACATTTTTAACATACATTTTTAACATACATTTTTAACATACATTTTTAACATACATTTTTAACATACATTTTTAACATACATTTTTAACATACATTTTTAACATACATTTTTAACATACATTTTTAACATACATTTTTAACATACATTTTATTTCTAGGCCTATTGACTTTAGAGTAACAGTGCCAACCTAAGTCTAAACACTGATCTCTTGTATCCAATATACTTATAATTCCTCATTTTTTTTTAAGCTTTGCTAAAAATATGGTTAGATATTCTGGTGGGTCTACCTATTCCTAGGTCTCTTTTCTATTTCTGAATATGGAAGCTGCATGCAATTTAATTTTAGAGGACTTCCCTATTTACCGTTTTCCATTATAGTTTCTCTCATACTGTCAGTTAGGTTGGACGGTAGAGCAGACGGTCTCACTTCATGCAGATCGGCATTCAATCCCCGACCGTCCAAGTGATTGGGCACCATTCCTTCCCACGTCTCATCCCTAATCCTTATCCTGACTCCTTCCAAGTGCTATATAGTTGTAACGGCACGGCGCATTCCCCGATAATTTTCTCCCTCCCTCCCACTGTTAAACACTTTTCCCCCCCCCCCCATGAAGTATTGAATGTTAGAGGCAGTCCACCCATCCTTCTCTCTTTTTGCCTCATCTTTGTTATCCTGTTGTAGAATTCTATTAGATTAGACAAGCAGGATTTGCCTTCCCCGAGACCTTACTGATGCTGTATTAGATGCTATTTTATATCCAAAATGATAAACTGACTGCCCGACACCGAATAATAACCACTCGCGCATGAATGGTGAAATGGTTATTGTACTGCTTCCCAACTCGGTGATCTCAAGTCTTAATCTTTCTGAAAAGCGTTAGTTTAGAATTCAATGCAAGCTAGTTAACGGTACATCTAACTGTATCCTCGCTGACTTTTCATCGAAACCTAACCAGTTCACAAATACTCGGAACAAAATCGGGGACATAACCCATCTCACTCTGTAGTGTTAACTCCCGACCCAAGAACGAGTTGCTTTGTAAATATTCTATCCTTCAATCTGAAGCAAGCAACTTAGCATTGCTGGTACAAAAAGAGAATCTACACACGTGCACACGAACACACTGTGCATGCACTCGCAGTGTGTGTAGTAATCAAACCAAAAGCACCACTCATTAAATTCTCTCATTTTTGTAATTTTAAAGAAGGAAAATTGCCAAGCCTGAAGATGAAAGAGCACAAGGCAAAGAGAAGAGACAATGCAACAAATACCACTATTCTTTTTTAATGTGTTATTGTTGTTATTGCCGACTGGTTTTATTATTGGTTTACACCCTAGGCATAAAGCTCCATTTATTTGGCAATTACTTTGAAATATTGATAAACACCAAACATATTGCACCATTTTTTAACCTGTACAATATACAGTACAGTATACAGATACACACATTTGTATTGCTATTAATATGAATACACAAAGAAATCACATCACTGTGATGTATCAATGAGAAAATCTGTAGGAGACACGAGGAGAATTCGAACCTGCACAGTGGGTACTCCCAAGTACACGCCTTAAACCACTGGCCCACAATATGCTAAAAAGTAATATAAGGGGCCCCAAGCCATCCAGCTCGTGCCAAATTAGGGTTTCACACATTATCTGCATACATTGTTGTAGAATAGGAGTACAATCCCGAATATTCTCTTCAAATGCACAAAGGAATTACATTAACATGATGCATCGCTGCTTTTCAGCATATCATTGTCCAGTGGTTTAAGGCATGTGCTTGGGAGTACCCAGTGTGCAGGTTCGAATCCTCCTCATGACCCTTGCAAATTTTCTCAAGAATACAGTATTAATATTATCATCATTTGCATTGTTATATATATCCTTTGAGATAATCTACCCAATGTGATAGCTGACCTGCCCTTTACTCGTTTCACTCATTTCTATTACTACTTGTTGCTCAAATGTCATCCCATACTCTGAATGTCTACACAGCTACCTTTATGGCTGTACCTCATAATGCACACCAACTTCCCTCTTGATTGTCATGCTGCTTCCCCACACATGTACCATTTATCATCTACAATCATTTGTACTTCATTTATAAAAAATGTCAAATTACTAAAAATAGTTTTACGGTTGTTCTTTAATTCATTTTTAGTATAAAAAGTAACTTTTGAAAGTAACTTCAGAAGAATGCAATATATTTTAGAGTACTTTAGTTGTTTTAATTTAGCCTAGCTTTTTATACCATCACTGACTTCATTCATCATGATGCAAGTGTTTCTCACCAGTCAACCCACCTTCCCACACCATTTCTTACTCTTCCTCTCCACCAATTTCCCCTTCCCACCACCAACCCTTATTACTCTCGACCAACTCTTGAGCAATGCTGGAGCCACATCAACCATGCTATCTTATCAATTATGGTACTGTACATCTTCCTGAAGTCAAGTCATGGGTTTACATCTGTTGGAGAAGGAAAATTGCCATCTACCAGATATCCAGGCACTGTTGCGACACAATTTGGGTTATATGAAGATATCAACTCCTCAAACAACAAGAGTTACAATGTACTATGCCAAAGTAATGACCAAGCCATTATGTGCTCAATCATACAGTTCAGTTAATATTCATAAAGGATTTTACAATGACTACACTGTTTTCCTCTCTCCATGCACGAGGTGTTATCGCATTAAGAGCCAGGAGTGAGCAAGGTGCCTTGGGTGTGGCAAGTGTCTGAGTAGAATTAATAATAATATAAAAAAAAAATTACTCTGAGTCAAGTCATCCTATTTGTGCAATTACAATCAAGTTACTTAAGGGGTCAGAATCCAAAAAATATTTGTCAAAAATAGAAATACTGTACTCTATATTGACAAATATTTAACAAATCTCACATTACTTTGCTTCAGTCATGAAAATTTCATCCCAGTATGTCAAGAAATGGATTTTATACACCATTTTTTTAATACTGTACTGTAATAAATCCGTGCACGGCGGGCCACAACCAGTACTGATAATAACAATAACACCTATTTACTGGAACTCTGGGATAATGCTGAGATAAAGAGATGCAAGCACCTGTCCGAAGCACAAAAAGGAAAAGAACAGTAGTAGTAAGGAAGGTCAACAAAGTGGATATGCGGCTGGTGCCTTCTAGTATTTGTGAGTGCCACCTGGAGGTCAAATTTCACAGATAATAAGTAATTTCACATTATTTTGCTGTATTTTATTATATATTATATAAATACATTGTCCAATGCCAATATTTTTTTATGTCCCTTTGTACAAGAAGCTGTCAATTTATTTTTTTCCATCTTTGTTTTTCAGCCGATTTTGTTGTGGATTCTAAATCTTAGAGAATGCATACCCATCACTAAGGATGTAAAATTAGAACAAAACTGATCAACATGTGAATCAGCCACAGGTGCCAGAACTTGTGACTTTCTCTTTTTTTTATGAGAGTTATTTACAGATTTCAAATTCTATTCTCTTTGTCTCTTTGTTGTTTTGCTGAATGGGAGCCAGATGAGGGCCTGATCACATATATATACTGTATATATATATATGGGCTTTAAAGTTTCTGAAATATATGTGTGTGTAATCCCAAACCCATTATCCCTATCCCCATATTTTTGTGTTTGTATAATGGTATTTTTTTTTTTTTTACTTCATTTCAACATATTGAACTACAACTTTCACATATTCGAGTACGAATGTCAAGCAATGTTTATTAAAACTTACAAGGAATTCTATAATGTAGAACGACCATATCCACCGTCGTGAGCTTTATCTTCAATTTCCTTCGAAACAAAATTTTCAACTTTTGAGACCCTAAAACAAAATATGTTTCTGATCGATCCTCACCATTTTTACATATTACAGGTGTATGCAAAGTTATTTGTTCTAAAGGTACTGTTCTGTATTTATTCATTAACCAATAAATTTTGGGGTTATAAATTTTTTGCGTCTAAATTTGCCACTTTTTTTTTAAGGCCACAGTGACAATTGTGTTTTACAGTAAACAATACTCCCAAACTTAAATCAAACAATGGAAAATGATCATATGTCATTCTTAGACCATAATTAATATAAAACAAATTGTGACATTAAGATTTTTTTTTAAGATTTTGAAAATTTACAATTGGCAATTTATAAACAAATAAAATTATATTTTTTGTGTTCATGTTATGATGTTGATCCATATGGAAAAGTTGGTGCAATTATCATGCAGATTATGCAAATAAAATAGTTGAGAGTTTGAGCAAGTTTGAGATTTTTGGATTATGACCCCTTAAACAAAATAATATCTACAGCAAAATTATTTTACACATTTATTTGGCTAGGTGCATAGTATCCCACTAACCCATGTGATTATCTACCAAGTAATTTAATTCTAATTCTACCTACCACCCAAACTCAATCAACTTCGGACCCAAACCCATTCAATCTGCCAATAATTTCATTTTCTTGCAACACACAGCTTTCAGCCAGAGTTCATTGATATTGCTCACGTGTTACTCTCTGTCCTGTGACTTGCCTTTCCAGCCCATCAATGATCGTGTTTATCTTCCTGCCACTCCTCCTACATCAAAACTTTCTCCAAATACTTTCTAACCCACTATACATTTTCTTTAAATCAACATGTCACCAGTAAATTATTGAGAACTTTCTGGTGACAGCACTCTTATACAAAATATTCAACAGCCATTGAATACACCACAAAATCAATCAAAACACCGCCCCAACAAACTAATCAACAGTCATAAACTAGACGACATAACCAACCAGCCACATTCAACTAGAGCATGAGTTCTTGCTTATCATTTTGGTTATCTTTTCCTGGTGCCGAGGCCAAGTAAAGGGTCCGAGCAAGCACGCAACGAAAACAAGAAAACACACACACATTCCTCTCATACACGACTTGAAAATGATGTAGAAAGGAATTACAGAACTCTAATAAAGACCTAGGGGTTGTTTTGGATTGCAAGCTGTCACCACAGGAACACAGAGAACATTGTGAAAGAAGCGCATGTGTTGCTTTCCAACTTCAGACTTGCTTTAAATTATATATGGATGGTGAAATACTAAAGAAACTGTTCATGACTTTTGCGACACCAAAATTGGAATATGCAGCAATTGTATAGTGGCCAAATCTCAAGAAGCACACAAATAAACTAGAAAAGGTGCAGCGGCATGTTACAAAATGGCTTCTGAAACTGAAAAAAACAAGTTACAAGGAGAGACTAGAGGCGTTAAACATGCCAAAACTAGACGATGCAAGAGAGGTGATATGATCACCACTTAAAAAATACTAACAGGAATAGACCAAATTGACAGTGGAATTCATGAAACCAGCAACTTCACATACAAGAGGACACAGATTCAAGCTAAGAAAACAGAGGTGCCAAAAAAATAATAAAAATTTTCTTTTGCAAACAGTGTTAGATGGTTGGAACGAACTAAGTGAGAAGGTGGTGGAGGCCAAAACCATTAGTCGTTTTAAAGCGTTATACGACAGATTACTGGGAAGACGGGACACCACGAGTGTAGCTCTCATCCTTAACTAAACTTATGTAGTCACACACATGTCCTGCCAGCTGAGTGTACAATGCTCTGGGGTTGCAGTCCTGGGTTCAATCCCTGGCAGAGCCAGAAACCAATGGGGCAGAGTTTTTTTCACAGTGGTACCATTGTTCACCTAACAGTAAATAGGTATGAATGAGAGAGAGAGAAAGAGAGATAGAAAGATAGCGAGAGATAGAAAGATTATTATATACAGTATAATCTATATATATATATATCTCTTTATATCTATCTATATCTATATATCTATATATATCTATCTATCTCTATATATCTTTCTCTCTATAACTCTATCTCTATCTCCATCTATCTCTCTATCTCCATCTATCTCTCTATCTCCATCTATCTCTATCTTTATCTCTAAATATACATATATACACATATATTATATACAGTATATATATATTATATATATTATATGCACATACATACACAGTACATTAATTACCCAAGTGTAGTAATCGCAACCATCGTTTTCCTGCAAAATCTCTAGGGCTCGATCATAGAAACCGAGTAAATTTGTTACGCAGGATCTTCCCGATCTAAAACCATACTGTCTGTCTGTCTGTTGTATCTTTTTTCTCCAGGTGTTCTACCCATTTAATTTTAATTATTTTTTCCAATCTTTTTACTATTACACTTGTCAGTGATATAGGTCTATAATTGAGGCGGTGTTCCCTGCTGCTACTTTTGTAGATTGGAACTATGTTTGCCTCTTTCCACACATCTGCTACGACTCCTGTACACAGGGATGCCTGAAAAATCAGTTGAAGTAGAATGCTGAGTTTGGGTGCACATTCTCTCAGAACCCATGGTGAAACTCCATCTGGGCCAACTGCTTTGTTTTTTAATTAGCTCCTTGAGTTTTTTCCACTTTGTCTCTAGATACCTCTATTTTCTCTATGTTGTTCTCTGGAATTCTAATTGTGTCTGGTTCCCTGAAGATTTCATTTTGTACAAACACACTTTGGAACTTTTCGTTTAATGTTTCACACATTTCCTTTTTATTTTCCGTGAATTTGTTTCCCCAGTTTCAACCTCTGAATATTATCCTTTACCTGCAATTTGTTGTTTATGAATTTATAGAATAGGCCCGGTTCTGTTTTACATTTGTCCACTATCTTTTTCAAAATGTCTTTCTGCCTCTCTCCTCACTGCCGTGTAGTTGTTTCTCACATCTTTGTATCGCTGGCATGTTTGGAGGTTTAGCCTCTTCCTATATTAATTCCATTTTTGTGCCTTTTGGTCTCTGGCCCTCTCGCAATTTCTGTTGAACCAATCCTGTTTTCTGGTCCTGCATTTGTTTTGGTATGAATGTGTGTGCCTTCATCATATATTTTGCAAAATTTGGCATACATCTCATTTACTTCCTTGCCTAGCAACAAGTCTGTCCAATTACACTCATTAAAAAATGTTTTAAGTTCCCCATAGTGCCTTCTCTTGAAATGAAGTTTAACAACAGTTTCGATGTCCCCATTTTCTTCTAGATTTTATCTCAAAGCATATTTAATATCCATCAGGACATGATCACTCTTTCCCAAGGGAGGAAGGTACTGGATGTCAAAAATCTCTTCTTTCCTGGTGAATATTAAATCCAGTGCTGACGGAACATCCCTGTTCCAGGAACTGTGTCTTCCATACCTTCCCCCCCTACCCGTCTGTGTCTGTACCATTTTATACTCAGGCTTTGGAGAGTGAACTTGTAAGGTTGATGTATATAGAGTTTTCTTATTTAAGTGGGGTGTGATTTTCAGGGGCAGTCAGCCATATTTGCTGATTTCTTTTGTGGTGACTAATTCTGAATTAATGTTGACATTTGAACATCAAGTTAAATGGTTGAATTATGATACCCATATAGTAATAGTAAATACTGTATATAAATGATTAACTTACTTTTTAAATGATCTTTATTTCTGATCCCTAGATCTTGGATAGTGAAAGCTAGAGTGGAGAGCACTCTGAATTGTACTTACTGAAGAAGATGAGGTAAAATTATTTACTATACAATTATGTGCTTACAGTTCATACATGATAACATCAAATAATAGTGTTGAAGAAAAGTTCCATTCCTTGTCGTATAATTAACTCTTGAATGGATGGTGGCAGCACTTTCTACTTTCCTTATCCTCCCATGTTCTTTCATTCTAAATTCATTCATTCATTCTTTCACTTGCCCTTTCTCCTGACCACTCTTCCTCACTATTAGTTATCTTCCCTTTCTCCAATTTCTGATATGTTACAAGGTATTGAATTCTTAATCTAACAAGCACAACAACAACCTAGTTGCGAAAACAATTAGGGGAACACTTATTACATCACCCTCTTTATATCTTGAAAGATGCCGTCCCGAGAATACCATTCTTGATTGCCTTCATGCAATGAAAACACACACACACACTGTACTACAGTGGTTTTCCAGGGATTTACCTGATCAGTCAGTACTGCTGTTAGCAGTATGCCAGTCAACATAGCATTCATACTATGATGTATGTTTACATCACTTTATGGCTCTCAAACTTTGGATACAGGTATTAAATGGTTTCTACTATATAAAAAAACAATTTACTCTAAAAATCAGTGTACTTACGCTTGTGCATCATTGGCGGTGGATGCCTGGGCCGAGGCTCTAGACCATAACTGCTGGCCAGTGTGTAGAATTTGCTGGAGGGAGCGATCAACACGTGGAAGCTCACCACCACCATTCAAGTTACTGGCCAGTTGCTCTGCCTGTTGCAGAAGCTCCTGCAAGCTACGACTGCCCATCTTGGTATCTAGAAAACAATTAATGCCAATTTAAATCTAATTTTTTTCTACCAAGAATAGCACAACATACAGATAACTAAATGGAGGGAAAGAGACAATCAGCCATGCCTACTAAACTACAGTAGTCCAGCAGACACAGCAATAAAGTCGCTATGATGTGGTATTAATAAGTACTGTACACGAGTATCATTTAGCCCTTTCGTCAAGATCATTTTCATTTTGGCCGTCATTACCACAGGTCAAAAATGCATTACAAATTTAACATTAGTGTTTTTATTAGTTCTAGTACAAAAGACATGCTCTTTTGAGTTGTGCCATTAAAAATAAATTAAAATCTTTATTTAAATAAAGAATGTTCTTTTCATTTTCATTTAGGCAATGTGGTTCAACACAAAAACTAGTCTATACTTGTTCCCAAGAAATATATTTTAAATATTATATAAGAATATAAGACCTCTTATACATACATATACATAAAAATACAACCAGTATTGTTTTATTTTGGTCGGGGAAGGGAGAGAGCAATTTCTTTTTTTTGGTGTCTTCATTTTACAGGTATTAATTTTTTAATCATTAAAACTTTTGAATTACTAATGCATATACTAGGCTTCCTTTGATATGGTCCCTTTTCCAATGACAACCATTAAACATTTTCCGAAACATCTCTTGCCCGAAACGCTGTGCGTATTAGTTATGTTAGGCATAGTATGTACTAGCTCTATCTAGAAATCCAACATTCTATTTGCAACTTATTTTGAATGTATGTACTTTTACCTGAACATAATAATAATTATTATTATAATTAGGCAATATATTTAACAAACTATGGCAGGAATAGGCAGCCAGTGGCATGTGATGGACCTCTTCATGCTGCCTCATTAGTTCATCCAGGTATATTTTTAATTGTGACACTTTTTATAACTTTTGCAGGCAAGATGTTCCACAAGTTCATTATCTTTTGGACAACACACATTTGAGCTTCAAGCCCAATACAGGCCAGCTACTCTGCATTCCACAACTCAATCTAGGGACAACATGGGTAAATTTTAAATGTTGTTCATATTTTGCCCCATAGGTTGAGCTCATTGGGCAGCGCCACTCATCATGCAAGTGGACACTGCCATAGCAGCATGTACAGCACTCCCCAACAAGAAGAGAAATCACCGAGTTGTTCATCCTGTCACTTGTACCCAGACACAGCTGGGACTTGCTTAACTGTCTCAAGTGAACAGCTCATCAAAGAAGATTAACATGTGTCAACCCTTGGAATTTACGTTAACTTGCGGGTGCAAAATGGAGGAAAGTTTTAAGAAGAGTATCTATATTTAGCAAATAGCATTTAACTAACTCAATATCGTGATGGGTAACATCGATTTGTTCATCGTGATGGGTAGACCGACCCAGGAAACTGTGAAATCCTTTGAAGTCCTGTG